ATATGCTAAGAGACTCTGACTTTTAGAAGCAGTCATAATGCTACTGTAGTTTAATGCCTAAAACCTTTACAAACAAGTGAGTTTACGTGTATTAAAAGTTCATTTTCCAAACGTGGTTTTCCAGAAATCCTAGTTCAATTAACCCATAAAAAAGCAATATATCACAAGGCTACTAATAGCAAGAAGATTTTTATTACACATAGATGATTTTAATTCTGATTTTAAAAAGAAAGTTAGGAATTATTAAAGATCATTGCATCCCTGAGTATAAATTTGCTATCCCCAGAACCTAATGATATGCATGGGAGCCCAGGTGACACACTGGAGGTCTAAAAATAGTTCTGAAACTGAGATTTCAAATATCATATGTAGACATACTTCTATGAACTTTTGTAATTCATTTGTCATGCTTTTTATTTAAGGCTTATCAATCAAAAAATCTCATTGATCTAAAGGAACGATTTACCATAAATATTTACCAACATAAATCAGATTGTGTATCCAAATGTTGCATATTTAAAATGTGTATCATTATCAGAGTTCTCTAAAATGCTATAAATATTGCTGCAGCCATCTCTCCAGTAATGTCACAATTGAAATCAAAAGAGGCATCTAGCTTAATTCCATTTCTGTTAATTTGTCTGTAGTTTGAGATGATTCTAGAACATGACAAATTTGCAGTTTTTGGATAGCTTCTGACTCAAATATCACAAGGATTATGTATGTCTAGGGATATTCCAATTTTAGTTGAAATTGAATTTATTTTGGGAATAATCTCATGTTAATTTCTTAATGTCAGTTCTGTATATTCAGGCAACATTTACATCCATTTGGCATTTCTAATATAAAATACACCTTTCTATATCTTTTATCTAGCCACAAATATTTAACTCGCTTCCAAAAAATCCTACTTCTTTCTCACTGCTGTAAGTCAAACTTGCATGAGATTTTAGGGGTTGTATGTCTCTTGAATCAAAGAATGTTTTGGAAATTTTGAAAGAATTAAAGAACTAAGCTAATATCAGTGGATGTTAAGTCTTTTAAAGAGTAGAAAAACTAATGTACACAAAAGGTGACTTTCCTAAAATCTATTGGGGAGGTCACTAACAAAATAGAGACTAAAACCAATACCTTTTTATTTTTTATTGTATAACTTCATCATAGATTGTCTTCACAAATAGTTTTAGCTAGCTACCTTTTAATAAAACTAATCACTTTATTCAGAATAGTAATAAATTAATAATAGGGATTCGAAGCTGTTGGTTCATTTCCTTGGCTCGTTATTTGCCTTTACCAACTTTTTCTTTAAATTGCAAAGGCCATTAACTTTCATCACACAGTTTAATTATTTCCTACTTCATGATTAAATTAATAATGTTTTCCAAAATTTTCAGAGAGGAAAACTTTAGTGACAAGTACAATACATCATTAACAAGAAGTTTTAGCTGCCTGAAAGATTAACTGAATTATTATTCTATACCAATTTCTAGGAAGGAATCAACATAAAGGCAAGTCATTTTTTGCATTTAAAAAACTATACAGTATCCCATTCTTTCTGTATTCAAGTCAGAAGAACCCAAAATGGATATCCAGTCTTTATAACATATTTATTATTTGAATAAGCAACAATAAAGCTGTGGGAAAAAATAAGTTTTATACACACAGTTTTAAAGAGGATATCAATGGCCATTTTAAATTTTGATTACTAGAATTAATCTGTAGGTATTTTTATTTGGAGATATCAGGTAAAAATGTACTGCATTAAAAAATATATGTAATTGTGGCTACAATCAAGAATCAAAATATTGAAGAATTATCACTGAATGTGCTTTAATAATCAATGGAAAAGGACCAAGACAGGAAAAACAGACTTAAAACTTTTCCCTCCCTTTTTTTTCAAGTGAATAATGCAAATTGTTCTCAATTTAGTTCATCTTCTTTTTCTCTCATTATCCACTAAAACTGGCCACTAAACTGCCTCTTTTGGTATGTATCATCTAGAGTATCCCCAAAGTGATACAGAAGTTTGGGGAGAAGTTCAGAGCATCTGCCCATAGGAGGACAGGCTGTTCCTTGCCATAATGCTTACTAGAGCATATATTAATTTTTTACAATGGGACAGGTATGAATGAGGGAATTTCCTCAGTGTTTGCTTCTATTTGGTGTTGACACAGATTTTAAAAGTAATGGAAAAATAAGAATATAGATCAGTGATCATTTACTATTGTGCAGGTTTTCCAACACTGATCACTATTAAGACACAAGAAAATAGACTATGAGTGATATCACTTTCACAGAAGATTATTCCTAAAGTCTAAGGGAAGAAACCCCAAAACCAAGCAATCAACCAAACCCCAAACCCAACCAACCAAATAAACCCCCAAGACACCACAACCTCCACTCCCTCCCCTGCAAAAAAATTAAACAAAATTAAAAAAAAAGAAACACAAAAAAGCACAAAAAACTCCCCTCTGAACTTAGTTGTTTACTGGTGACCTGAAAAACGAGCTTTTCATTATAACTTTTCAATATTTCTTTCTAGCCCTACTACTTAAGGCAAAGTTCCCTTATTCATATGACATACAGTGGTCACTGGTTCCACAAGTTTGATGTATATAAAATCAAAAGATATTTGCTAGTCTCTGTTTTAAATTTATAGAAAATCAATTCTGCAGACAAAATAAAATTGCTTCTCCCACAATTCCCTTTAGATTGCCCCTCCATTTATCTCTTTGCTTCTTACCTAAGAGCATGTAACAAAATAGGTGGGAAAATAAAAGATTTCTATTCTTTCTTTAAATTGAAACATCTAAGACCAGAAAAAGCAAATATAAACATCAGTGTTTGCCTTTCCATATAATATCACTTTTCACAGTGATATCCCCAGATTTCAGGCTGTTGTTATGAAAGCATATTTCCAAATTCCTAATGTCTATCATCTGTAAGAAAGGTGCAAGATATGTCTCACCTTTTCAGTTCTTTCTCCATCTCCTACGGTGTTGGAATATGTTTTTATTTCAAGGCAAAATGAAGAACTGATATTTTTCCTCATATAAAAGGGAAAATCTGTATTTTCATTAAAGATCCAATATGATTTAAATAAGATAAACACTTTGTATTGTAGGAATATTCAATATAATATAGATAACAAAATACATTCATACATTTGATGCTTGCAAAATTCAAAAGCCAAGCAAACAAGCTGAAACTGATTCATTATCTGATGTGAAAATACTGGATTTATTTTTAGAGGAATATCTCTAAAATTCTTATTTGGAGATTGAAATCTCCTCTTGAAACAAAGATTTCTATACAGGTGTATTTTTATTATATGTAACATGTTTTCAACCATGTCTAGAAAGTATTTCCCCTTGCTGTTCTAGTGGATATATCCTTCCCGTGATACTTGCTTTTCAGATTCCAGGCAAGAATCTTAATTCTTCTTAAAGCCATATTATTCAGTCTAGAAATTGGAGACTTTTTCAATGTATATTTCCTTTTTCACTGCCTACTAGACACCTATTGGTGGAAGAAAATGTTGACAAAGATATTTTCAAGAGTCACATGATTCAGACACATGCATATTCATTGTAAGAAAAGATCAGCCACAGAAAAACCACAACAAAACAAAACAAAAACAAAAACAAACAACAAAATCCCCCAAAAACCAGTTGAGGTATTGCTTAGAAAAATAACATCTCTATAGGAAAAATCTAGTTGCATGGAGTATGCAATGTGCCAGGACTTAATTGTATTCCTTCAGCATTCACAACAGCAATACAATTTGTCCTTTATAAAGGAACAATGATTATATTTATATCCCAAACAATATCACTTTTAAAAAACATCTCTATCAATATATGAAATTTAAGAGTTGAGGTAAAAGTGCCATAGGCAGCCCCACTTTTTCTGCCAAACTGGGGTGCACCTTTGAGAATTTGTTCCCCTCTAGGACAAACAAGTATTTCACGCTGACATAAATTCCTAACAAGGCCTTTCTGCCCTCAACTATATGCAACAGGGTCGTGCTTATGCTAATTTGATGTTGTGGGATCATAACCCCCTACTGATTAAATGAATTTTAAAATGTTAACAAAATTACTTGTAGGCATTGCGAAAACATAAAATAAAAGGTTGCTGTTTTCCAAATATGCCATTCTTGAAGGTATGGTGTGGAATTCTTGGTGTGTGCATTCATCTGTTAGCAACTTACTTTCAAGATAATTATGCAATTTAATAAAAGGAACTCTGCAGGAATATAAAAATTACCCTTCCTCCTATTATACGGAAACAGTTAGAAGGTGCTTTTGTTTTCTTAACCGAGATGTACTGAGCTTTTCCTATTTAAACTTTGCAAAGCTTGTGTTCAACCCTAAGGGGACTTACAGCCAGCTTAATGCTCATATTGTGAGAAAATGAAGATACTTCAGGGACAAGATAATAAAATAAAGCAAATCTTTCCACCACTC